TTGTGAATAAATTAATGAGTGTCTCTTCAAATTAACGAAATAGCGTATCAATGATAAAGAGTTATAAATATAATTTATTTAGAATATTAACTTCTTTTAGCAACACGTTATCGGAAAAAGTTCGATTAATTTTTAATTTTCAATATTAAAATTCTCACCGAGAAGAATTTTAAGACCGATATCGATCTGAACGATGATCAGAGACGTATCTGTTTCGATCGAATATCGAGAGAATATTTGAAAAATGATTAACCGATTGCGAGTAATGAACGGTTCATCGAAACGTGTCGTTCCTCGAAATGTATCGTTTCTTCGAATAGAAGCTCGTTGTTAAGTAAGGCAAATATCGCGATATCTCCGTAAATTTTATCGTTCGAAATAATCTCGCTCTTGTTTCCGCACGAGCGCCACGAGTAAATTAACCGTATCCGATCGATCGTTTCCTCGATCTTGATCTTGGGCTCGCCCCTCCACGGAGAGCGAGAAATCTCATTTGGAAATTGAATAAGTCACGTGTAGTTCGCCAAATTCGATTTCATCCGCTCCGCTGGGTTATTGCTTTTCTATTACCTTTTTATCGGTTTTTTTTTTTTTTTTACCGTCTGTACAAGAAGAAAATAGAAAACAGAATTTCAATAATATCTTTACGTTCACATTCTTCTTTTTTTTTTTTTTCTTTTTCATCGTTTAATTTACGAATAATATTTTTCAATATCGAGTAGAATAAAATATAAAAATATATAGATATTCGTGTGAAGATATTTATATTAAAATTTACGAAAAAAACTTGTACGATTTATAATTTATATTTATGATATTTTAATTTTAAACAAATTTTACAATACATATACTTGTATATGCAGATAGAAAATTCTTTTCTTTTAAAATTTTTTGCATACTTATTATCGTTATTTTATATCATATCATCGAGTCGAACCGACATTTTGCTCGTCTCGAAACGAAAACGAGTTTGCGTCCAAAGAAGCGGCATAGAATATTAAAAGTTCAAGCACCTTTGCAACGGGAGTTCTCGAACACACGAGAATTCTCGAATTCGATACACGCAACGATCCAGCTCCGATAAAAGTTGTATATATATATGTATATTTTTTGTGCCTGTCCCAACTCGATAAAAAATCGACGCGAAATCAAATTGCTCTCATAAAACGAAACGTTCTTGTTGGAGAGGCCAAATTGCAATATAAAAATTTTGATCGATTTGTATTCACTTTCCCGCAAAAATAAAACCTAAACACCTCTCGTTGGTAACAGGATACGTTTATATCGAACTTGTATTTCCTTCTTAGAAGATGACAAAAAGTACCTTTTTCACGCGTATTTTGTTTTTTTTTAAATATTAGTTAAATTATTTAACTGTCCTAATCGAGAAATAATTTGATTTCTAACATGAAAATTTCGTAAAATATTTCGACCGTGATGCGAATTGCAAACAATGCGAATATAATACTTGCACGAAAATATCGAAGCAAAAAAGTTTTTCAAATAAAGAATATTTTTTCCTCGATTAGATTCTCTTCGTACTTATTTCTGAAATACATTTAATACATTTCAAGAGGGAAGAAAACGGGATTAAACGAGAAAAAAAAAATTATATGAGAGGAAGGAATTAAAAGAATAAAAGAAGAGATAATTTTTCCGATGATAAAAATCCATTTTTTCCTCCGTTCATATCGACCGAAGATTAAATAAATTGGTTCCAGTTCATTGTCTCCGATAGAGGCGCCAGTCACGAAGCGATAATCGATCCGAAATGAGGCAGGAAGAGAATTACAGGATAAACGAGAAACAAAGGCGAAGGATCAAAGACCCGTCCTTGGGATTTGAAAAGGGATTTTCGCGCGAAATAAAAGAGCCAGATAATGATCCAGGTTGCGAGAATAAAGGAAGATAGTGGGAGCCGCGGCTTTTTCGTTGCTGCGAATTAAAATGCCGGCTGCATCGGATCCCTCGACTACTATTGAGCTGCATTGAGAATACAAACACGCCCTCTCAGGGACTCGGGAGATCTCTATTTCCAGCGGGATGATAACTTTAACTTAACCTAAACGTTTCGTCGATCCTTTTAATCTTTTCCTTTTAGGATCGTCGTGTCTTAAATCGCGTTTATATTATGAAATAATTTTTTGAGATAGTTTTGAAGAAGGAAAATTTTGAAAATTGTGTAATTTTTTTTTTTTTATAATACTTTGGGCATCTTATGCGTTCTAACAAAGTTGATCTAAAATGATGCAGATTGATTTCTAGAAGATGTTGAAAATTGAAAGAGTTATAAGAAATTTGTAAAATTTAAAAAAACATTTGCAATGTTGCTTTTGAATATAATTTCTAATGTTGCTTTTATGCATTAGTTTCAATTCATAGACACAATCTCTAATCAATATTCAAGAAATGAATCGAACAGTTCGCTTTCGATATTCTTCGTTAGTTCTACATACACTTTCGAGGTTCTTCCTGTTCTATAAGCAAACAGAGACTATCTGTGTTAGATCTTCGACTTGATGCATGATGCAATTTGCTGATATTCGATTAAGGTTGAGGCAGACAAAAAAATAAAATAAAAAAAAATTAAAATAAAAATAAAAATTCGATAATCGTTTGATTTGACTGATTTTCGATATCAATCGATATAAATTGTTTCTTTATCTAATATGTATTTTATCTATCCAATTATTTAATTCCTATATAAACATATATCTACAATATCACTTAAAAACAGTATTTTTTTTATATAAAATAAGAAAGAATAAATGAATTTTTTATAAGTAATTTTAAATGTAAGCATAAATATTTATATATGCATATAAAAACAAAGATTAAAAGATTGGATATTTAAAATTGTTTATAGATAATAAAAAAAAAAAAAACATTTGGCGAATCAAAAATTAGATTTTAACTTATATCTCACTTAATATTTCGTTTTTGTAATGTAAATATAATTATTGTTTTATTATTTATTTTATTATTCAACAAACTTTTATTACAACAAATAAATTTAATACGTGACTTTTTCAATTTTTTAAGATCATAGTAGATTTGTAACTAATAAATCAATCGTCATTTTGTGTGATGATAGAAGATAATTAATTTTAGAGTCTTTAAAATCTTAATTCCTTAAATCTTTCAAATTCTATCTAGGAATTACTTTTGAATTGCAAGTCGATAAAAGAAGAAAAAAATGAAGAAATATCGATTGAAAAATGAAATATGATGTATAAATATTGTTTTAATGATTTAAAATGAAATTTGGCGATAGAAATTGTCTCTCTATATTCTTCTCTATATTTTTATATATATATATGTATATATTTCTCTATATTTTTCTATATTCAACTCTTTGATGGGAAAACAGATGATTGCAAAACAATTGTTGTTAATTACTTTGCAGAATTTTTAGATTATGAGGAGATAAACATTTTTCATGAAAATTATTTTCATTCTTCTAATTCTTTCTTTTGTCAATAATATTATAAAAATATACAATAATTGTCGAAATAACGATTTTAATTACAATAATAATCTATAAAGTTTCAATATTTAAAACACAACAATTACAAAATATCGAGATAAATCTTTATTTAAGTATCACGAGATAAAACGAGACCAACAGAAACAAACACTACTTAACGATCAATTAAAACATTTAATCTCTTTAATAATGAATTCAAGACACTTAACTCGAATTTCAAAATAAATTTTCAATAGAAGATAGATAAGTCATTGAGGAAGCAAGTCATCAAAAAAAACACGAAAACCAAAAAAAGGAACGAACAAATCGTGTTCTCAATAATCAAGCAAGGAGAATTGAAAGAGGATTAAAAAAGAGAGTTAATCCAGCTAAAACAAACATTATTCAACGATTAATTGAAATATCTAATAATCTTACTCTTAATAAATTCAAGACACTTACCTCGAGCTCGAAATGTCAAAATAAATTTTCAAACAGAAGATACAAGTCACTCAAGGGAGCAAGTCACCGAGAAAACACGAAAATTAAAAAGAAATGAAAATCATTGATGCATTGTCAATAATTGCGGATGGAACGAGAAGGCGATTCTAAAGAAGACACAAAGAGGAACTGGTCAGAGAAACGAAAACGTTGAGAGAAAAGCAAAGAGAGTAGGACTCACCTTCGCGAGTAACTCAGAAAAATCGTTGCCTCGGCCGAGGTTAAGCTCTCATATATACCCAGGTGGACCTCATTAGAATTCAGGTGCAAGGGGCCTGACACGATTGGTCGGTTCGTCGACCCTCTGCCTCTCGTCAACAACGAGAGGGGCGATCACGATCCGTCACTGCTGATGCCTCAGATCTCTTCGTCTCTCCTTACCTTTTCTTTTTTCTTTTTCCTTTTTTCCATTCGTCACAGATCCCTTTGTCTCCATTCTACCCTTTCTTCCTTTGTTCCCTTTTTCATTTCAATTTTATCAACTTTTGCTTTGCCCAAGATTATTATTATATTATACTATAATAATAAGGAATTAAGATTGAAAGGAATTAGAGAAATAAAGATAGACAAAGATTAACAATTATCATTTAATAAAGGTTTTTTTATCATATGAATAATAATTATCAATGAAAGATCATTGCCTTTGTACTCAAATGTTACTTACTTTGTATAAGAAATCTTGTTTCTATTTATTTTTAACAAAATTAAAAAGAAATTTCATTTTTTTCCTTCTTATAAATGTTGGTATTAAGTCTTTAACTCTGGGAATTATTTTAACAAGGTTATTTTAATAGAAACTTTAAATAGAAACTTTATCTGAGATTTATTAATAAAAATCTGCATTTTGCAAAATGTAAAAAATATATTCTGTAAAAAATATAGATATCTTTTTCATCATGACCTTCAAATCAAATGTGTATTAATTCTATAAAAAATTACCATAAAGCAAGGAATCAAAAAATTGCTTGAAATAAAATTTAAAAAGCACTTTAATCAAATTTAGTCAGGAACAAGACGAATGAACAATCCAAACTCATGTAATATGGATTTTACTTTATTCGTGTAACAATAACAGTTCCTGTTTCCACAGTAGTTTCCTTTTACAATAGTTATTTCGCTCAAACTACCCTAATAGCGCAGTGGCAACCGCAGAAAGCAATCTTACGCTGGTTTCTCAGGTACCATAGGGCCAATGGGGGTGTCGAGCGAATAGTTTTTCACGATGAACATACGCATCGTCGTTCCTTTTCTTTTTCTCGAACCCTCGATGTTTATTTTAATGACTCGCGATAGTAGTATGTCCATCAATAAGGGAAAATTCTTAAAAAGGGCACGATGGTAACGATTGCGCTAAACGGCCATTCCTCGCGAGTTTAAACTTTCTTCTTCTCGATCTCGAGAGGAGTGATCGTGATACGATCGTGTTTTTTTGATCGTTGGATTTCACCGTGCGTCATCCTACATCGTATACACGGATCATCGTATCGTAAAAAATTATTCCTAACATTGATGCCTGTGGACCATATAGTTCTCATATAATAGAAATCGCATCTCTTAATTAGCATGATTAACGAGATACCTTTTTCTCGGGGTTTGACAGTCGTCGAGGGGAGATCCTTACGTTTAACCTTACTTTTTTTGTGCTGAGCGTTAGTCTTGCTGGTTTCATCCTTCTTTTTTTTCTCTCTCTTTCTTTCTTTCTTTTAATTGACGAGCAGTCGCCGTGTTTCGCGATCGATCTGCTTTAGCGTAATTTGGCACTCTTCAATTTTGCTCGAACGTTCTACAATTTTTTTAACAGGCTACAACAGTGCAAGATAGCTTATAAACATTCGTCCACCTTTGCGACGCTTCGCGTCTAAATGCTCTATCTTAATTCTTTGAAGCGTTGTTATCTGGGATATTTCTTTCTAGTTTGTTTTATTGTGACATGGATAGAAATAAAAATTGATAAATTCAATTTGCAGAAAAAAAATTGAAGAACTTGAACTGAGCGTTTAATCTTAATGATAATAAGAAAAATAATAATTGGAATTAATTCAATTATCGCTTCAAAGAATTAAGTTTCGATTATATCGAAAGACACGCCGACAATCGATTTCCATTAAATGGATTCGACATTGAACGATTGTTGCACGCATCTAAGTTTCTATACATAACTTATCTAGTCGCACTTTCAAAGCTTATTTTTCTCCCTTCGTTAAATAATACGAGAAACGACCTTAGAAAAACATAAATACACGCTACTTCGAAAAGTTGAAAGTAGCGAAAATCGATGTAGAACGCGCTGTTTATAGGACGTTTCTAAAGCGTACATATGTGTTATGTGTTTCTTAAATTACGAGTGATTCAACATCGAGTCAAATGCACTTATCTGTACGAGAAAGTTTGTAATAAAAGTGTCGAGAGTACTCGAATAATTAGCGAGTCATATAAATCATATGCATTTGACCGTGTTGAAATTGGAGCAATTTATGGATGGAAACACCGATCAAATGCAGAATATATGGATATACCATGTTAAATTTTACGTTCACTTTTTGTCAACGGTCATACGATGTATAATTATCCTTTATAGTAATAATAATTAGCAGACTTTCAATGATAACACATATTTTTATCAATAAACATTTTATCGTTATTCTGTTAAGTAAGAGATTTTATTAAAAAAAGTTCAGTGAATACTCTAATCCTTTTAAAATTAAGAAATATTTTGTATAATTGGTTTTTCACTTGTTAGATTATTCTTGATTGGAACAAGTGTTATTCAATTTATCCACACGAGCAATATAAATTCTTATATGATAAGATAGTTGACATGTAATTTTGAATATTTCATTGATGATTCAATCATTACACTTTATATACTTAAAAACAAAGCACTGAGTATACACAGATGTTCGAAAAACTTATTTCCAAATTTCATATATCCTCGATCGGTGTTTTATACCTAAAAATGACTCGTCTCAGTCAGTTCAATATGATCGTTATTTAGAGGTTATGTTTATTCATTATTTGACTATGTTGCGTTACTCATAGCACCTAGCATAAACGCAACCTTATATTCTATCTTATTTCTAATATACATATTCGTTCCTCTTACATAAACCAATTTGAACCGATGATTCCCAAACTCGTTGCAATATATACATATATATATGTACATACATACAATAAATTATTTGCTATTAACGTTAGTAAATATAAATGTAAATGTAAATTTAAGATTGAAAGACGAGTTTGCAAAGCATGGTTTCGTGTAACAAACAAAAACTGAATTCGGCTAATATGTAGTTTATAAACGAATCTTTTATTAATGAAAGAATTATAAAAAGAATAGATTTGTTTAAATGGAAATTGAAATTATATAAGAATTAATGTTAGAATCTAAATAATATTTTTTTAACAAATTACTAGCAATTACTAGCAAGAAATTGGAATAGCATTCAAATTATCTAATATTAGCCGAACTCAGTGATTAACCATGTTCCTAAATATTTATTTTATTATTATACTTGATTCCTTTCCTAAATAATAGCATTCATACAAGTTACAAGAATTACAGTCATTTTCTAAATGAACCGCATTGTGCGATCGCTGTTTCTTAATTTATTATTAATATTATGATTATTATTGTTGTTATTATTATTATTATTGTTGCTGTTATTGTTATTATTATTATTATTATTATTATTATTATTATTATTGTTATTGCTAGTGATAGAAACTTGTGGAAGCATTCTCTTCGAATAGAAGAGAAAACATCGAGGCAGTATGGCGTCAAGCATAAATGGTCTCAGAATATTATACCGCTAGAATATTTTATGTTCGAGCAACATTTACATTACGAAATATAGGCCTCATAATAAGTCTTTAATTTTATAATGATGGAGTTTTATATATGCTTATCGTTTAAAAACTGTATAAGACCGTATAAGAGTAGAATATTCATCGAAATTTCTTGTTAAAAGTGTTCTTAACATAGATTCAGTAATCCAATGAATGACACGATTAAAGTTTCATACGAGTCGAAACTTGAAACCATCCTGTCTCGACGTCATAATTAAATGATCATAACATTTCAAGTAGAAAATAGTAAATATAAGGTATTATTAGTCGATTGAACTATATATGTTACAAAAAGGGAATTGAATTTGATTAGGAAAGAGAACGCAGTAAAAAAAAAAAAAATTAAAAGTTTCTTTATTTTTGAAATAATTTCATTTGGATATTTACTATTTTCTTCCGTAAATATTATTCATCTAATTTTGTTCGACATCCATTACATTACTAATTCTTATCGACAATTCAGACGACAGCTATTTATTATCAGTTTATTAAATCGATGATTATGTACAATATCGATGCAAATAAAAAAAAAAACATCTTTTTTTCTTTTTTTTAAATCGTTAATATAATCATAATAGCAAGTGTCAGATAAACCACTTTTTTATGAAATTTCAAAAAATGTTTGAAGAAGAAAGATGTTTGTTTCTCTGTTGTTCCGGGCTGGCAGTAGCGTTTTCACTTTGTGCTAAAAAGATTTTTCAGCTGTGTGAGAGATTTTAACTTCTCTATCATTTTTCTTATGAGTAATAATTCTCCCTCTGCTGATATAGTGGTAATGGTGTTACAGGTGAGAGATCCTCGTCTTCTAAGCTCGATTCGGTCTTCAAAGGAAGGGTAGCCAGTGCTTTCACTATCAAAATAAAGGAATTAATTTCGAATCGATATGAAACGTTCGCTGGAGAACTATTTGAGATAAGATCATTTCAGAGTTTTAACAGGAATACATTAATGATAACATTTGAAAATATATCACTCACAAATTATTTAAACAAATTTTTGTAAAACTTTTTGTAAAACAAATTTGTAAAACTTAATTTCTTATTTCTCCAACGAGCGTGTAGCAAAAGAAAAAAAAAGGATCACTACAAAAAATGGAAATTAATCGAAAAAAGGATATATGAAGGGAGATGTAAAAAAAAAAAAAAAAAAAAAAAAAAAAAAAAAAAAAAAAAAAAAGAAAAATATAAACAAACCTGAGAAACGATAATATGATGTGCGTGTCCTATATGGGAAGATGGAGAAAGCATGTCAGTCAGTGTGCCTGGTTACCTATACACAGTATAAACAATCCAAACAACACTCACTACATATGACACAACTATATTTTACATTAATAGGAATCTTGATAAAAAAATTAATCGTATAAACGAAATTATAAAATATTTATGACGATGCATGCCAATGAAAAATTCTTTAAAACATTTTATGATTTTTGGAACTAGAGAGAAAATGTTTTTTTTTTAAAAAAAATATTCCAATTTCTAAATCTCTAGCAATAAAACTTAAAATATAAACATATGTAAAAAAAGAAAGCCATATTCTTCTAGTTCCGATAATAAAATTACAACAAATAAGAAAAAATTATACAACAAATTGAATAAAGCACAAGCCTTCTGCACTAAAAATAAGCAGAAGGCATGAAAGCTAATAAAATTGGTCATGCTATCACACCACTAGACACTAAATATTATTAGATTCATGCAAAATGAATCAAATTGGATAATCGAATATTTGCATTTTGAGAAGTCAGAGATTCAACGTACCCGCCACCATCTTGCTCTTTTCCATAACTTGCTTAGCTAAAATTTGATTCAATTGTAGAATATGCTCCCTTTGTCGTTTTTCTTCCACTACTTTTCTCTTCAAACTATCAGATTGCTCGATATTAATATTGTCGTCTGAAAAAAGAAGAAACGATTCATTTAACCATATAATATCTATTCAAAAAAGTAGCCTGATGTAATGAAATTGTGAAATGATCCATACCACTTCCGTCTGGCGCGGTCACGGTTGTTTCAGACAACATCTTCCTTATTGCTTCCGCTTTCTTCAATCGTTGCTCCTGCTCTTCCGCGGTTAATTCCGGTGTCTACAAAATACACTTATTCTAAAATTCTATCGAGAAAACAACGTAAAAATAATCATCTCACCTGTTCAGGTATGTATCTTTCGGGAATCACGATCTTATTCGGCGTTCCCAAAAGTTGATCGATAGTGCTCTCGTTATACTTCAACTCTTTGTGGCTCAAGGTCGATCTGACAACATCCGGAGCATTGATCCTCGGCCTGAGCGCTCGTTCCATGTCCAAATCGTCTCTAGCTCTTCCCATTCCCTGCGCAACGTTGCAAAAAAAGCCTCCATACAATCGTACACATTTCACGCTCGCGACAATGAAACACGAAAAAGCGACGCCACAGTACACGACAAAGTTGGAAAAATGGAATCGACAAAGGAAAGAAAGAGAAACTAATGAATTGGGATGACGATGAGAAAAAAAGAAAGAAACACGAGTAAAAATACCAAAAGAAAACAAGAAAAAAAAAAAAAAGAAAAAGAAAGAAATGATACCATCTTTGAGAACGTATCCTCTAGGTCGAGGATAGGTTTGCTACTGGACACGGTATAGTGTCGCCTTTTCTCGCGAGGGATCTGCCTGCGTCTCGGTCCCTCGACTTTTTTCTCCGTCATTTCCTTGATGATCTGTCTTGCTGCCTCGCTCTTGAACACGGGCGACAATTGAGGCGAGGAGCTCGACGTGTTTACATTCAACGACGAGCCGTAAGCTTTCTCCTGACCTTCGAGGTTGCTCGATGTCAACAATTCCGGGCTTATCGGTTCCTGAACACTGCCTTGACTCTCATTATACTGCCTGTACGGTGTATAGTACGGATGGTGATGATGGCTCGATTTGATCGTGTAATTTTGCTGGTGGCTACTAGGACTGTAGGACGGACTGGTCGAGTAATTTGGCGAGCTGATAGGAAGATGCGTGCTCGAGGCGAGGCTCTCCGTGTACGGCGACAAAGTACTGTCCGAGCTTCCTTCCTGTTGCGTTTCGAACTGCGTGTCGATCGACGGGCGAAATAACGATCGAGAGTGGACCGAAGTGGAGGGCCGAACAAAATAAGGCGTCGGGAGGTGATAGGCGAAACCAATGAAAAAAAAAAAAAAAAGAAGAAAGAATAAAAATGCGTGAAATCGTGCGTATCATCGAGATGCTTTTGGTGCTTTTCGTGTTTGGGCGCTCGTCAGTTTTGGCCTTGATCGAGCCGCTGCGCTGCGCGCTATAGTATAGTATACTATACCTATAGTATAGGTAGATTTTATTTATAAAGGACGTGAAGCAAAAATTTTTGGAAAATTTTAATTCCTATTCGAAAAGTTTAAATTCGATATTTATCGTTTTTTTGTTTTATTTATTTTTTTTCTATCAAAAAACGCGTATAGTATATTAAGAGTTTCATACAACATACAACAATATCTTACAATATCAAAGATGATTCAACAATTGTAAACGTAACGTGCAAAATAAAAAATAAAAGTTTAGCACTTGGTTGTTATTCACGTAAGAAAAATATAAATTGTTAGCACAATGAATGATGCTTTCAAAAATTAATCGAACGTAAAAAGAATTTAAGGGGGGGGGGGGAGATAAAATATGGATCGAACAAAGGGGTTAATGTTAAGAAAGATCCATTGATCGATTAATCGGCGCATTTAGAGAAACATTGGAATTACTTACCCTGACCTTATTACGTCTGGCCAGCATGGTTCTCAAGGCGTGCATGCTATCGCTTCTAGGAGGAGGCACAACCGGAACTTGATGGATCTCCGGCTGTTGCAGCCGTTGCCCGCCGAAACCTCTCGGCAAGGACATGCTTCTTTGGAACTGCACGTCGTCCAAGTCCGTCAACTGGACTGTGCTTTGAGCGTGAATCATCGGCGACTCTTCTATCACCTTTCCTAATTGAGCCTTCTAAAAATAAATTGATTGGGAATAGAGTGAAATAAAATTGAAACAACGTTGACCGTCGCTGCCGGGATACATTATTGAGTTTGCTAAAGTTCTAATATCTAAATAATAATAATAATAATGCTTCTAAATTCTAAAGAAAATTGATATCTTTATCTTTTAGTTTTACTTGTCAGGATTGAACATTTGTCTTTTAAATTTTTAAATGTTTTGGTATTTTTTAACATTTTTTGAAAAAAAGAAATGTCAAATCTATGATATCTATTAAAAAGATATCAAACATTCTTTCAGAATAGAATGGAGAAAGAGAGAGAAAGAGAAGATAAAGGTAGTGCACGAGACTCGAGGATATTACCTCGAACTTCTGAGAACCTCCTAAATCATCGTCGCACAATCTCTTAGCACCCCCGGGCGCCTGAAGCCCGTTCGTTAATGGAATTCCAATGTTTCCAGTTCTGTCTCCTCTATCTCTTTGCCGTCTTTCTGATTCCCGCTTCACTATTCGCACGGTCTTAATCTCTTGTTTCTCACGGTTGTGGATCAAGCCTTGAAAACACACAATTATAGTGAGTCACCAATCTATATTGTCGTAAAGCCCGATGATTGCGTTATTGATTTCGCTTACCGGTAAACTTGTTGTCCTCGTTCTGTCTGTAATTATCGTTCAGCAACGCTTCTTCGTTTAGGGGTGGCGGTGGTGGAGGTGGAATGTACTCTGGTGGAAGAATTACGCCATTTGTCAGATTCCCGTCTTGCTTGTTGTTCTCTGAAATTGTGCAAGTAACGTTGACAGGTTAATTAAATATGGGACATTTTTCATTGAAGGAAAAAATCAAAAAAATGAGGCATTAAAAAGCAGAGAGGTTAAATTAGAATTAACCGTTACGTGTTAGTCAAAATACCTAGTGAAAAGTCATTATTCATATATTCTTTAAATCCAATATTCATCGCCAAAACTTTTCTCACTGAATTCCATTCTCTGCTTCAACGCTCAATAAAAGTTCTGCTTTAAAAATTCACTCATTCGCCTAGAGTTTTTGAATTGAAAAAGACTGATTATTCCTTTTTTTCCCCAAAAATTGTATCACTTCTTCTCACCTTGAATTCTAGAATCTGTGTTTATATACAACGGAGCGACATTCGCTTGTATAAGACTTCCTTTCCCTTGCATCTGATCCTTGAGAAGCTGTTGCTTCAATTGATGCTGATGGATCTGTTCACGTAACTGAGGAGAGAGCGAAGAAATATGATTCTGGGGCGATTGAGGGTACGATTGCAGATTGGCTTGCTGCTGACGACTCGTGGGTGACGAGTCTTTGATCTGCGTCGGTGAACTGAAATGCGGATACGGTCCGCCGTTCTGCTTGCCACGAGGCGAGGAGGATAATGCAGGACTCGATGGTGAATCCAAACCGTGATCCAAAGTTATTCCGGAATCGAGATCGGTCTCCAACCAAGAGTTTTGCGTCCGCTTCTTCGGCTGGTGCACTTGAGGAGCTGCAAAATAATATGGGATAGAGAATTGTATTTGATTAATTATTTATAATATTATAGAAGAATTTTGATGAATTTGACACGATAATATAATTTATTTGAAGCAAAATTTGTACTAGAATTTGACACTTGTAATTGAGACTATCTCTAGTATAAAACTTGTCCATTTATAAAAAGTATTCAGTTATTTATTATATTTATATTTATCATCTAAATTTTCAATATTTAAAAAATAAAATTCATCTAGAATAAACATAGACATAATTTTGATATTATTATCAAATATAATTTTTTTTCAATTGTTCAAATGTTTTCCACTAGAACTCTCATTTTAATAGAATAAAATTTTCTTAATTTGTTAATTAAATTTAAAAGATAAAAGATAATAAAATTCTTTAATTTAGATACTAATTTAGACACTAGAATTGTATTTGATTAATTTTTTACAAAATTATAGAAGAATTTTGAATTTGATTCATTTGAAGCAAAATTTGTATTAAAATTTGACAACACTTGTAATTGAGAGGTCTCTTGTAATTAAGTATAAAACTTGCCATGTCCATTTTTGAAAAGTAATTAGATCAGTATTTATTGCAATCTGTTTTTCTGAATTTCAAGAATAACATCAGTATTTCCATCTAAATTTTTACTTTCAATATTTAAATATCAAAATTCATCTAGAGAATAAACACAGACATAGTTTTGGTTTTATTATCAAATATCATTTTCTTTCAAATGTTTTCCATTGAGATGCTCATTTTAATGAATTAATTCGTTTAATTCAATTTAAAAGATAAATATGATATTAAAATTCTTTAATTTAGACACTAGAATTGTATTTGATTATTTTTCTATAAAATTATAAAAAAATTTTGATGAAGTTGATATGACAATTTGTTTGAAGCAAAATGTACTAGGAATTTAACAATACTTATAATTGAGAAGTCTAATATAAAACTTGCCATGTCCATTTATAAAAAGTATTCAAATTTATTGTAACCTGTTTTTTTCTGATATTTCAAGAATAACATCAATATTTCTTTTTGTTACATTTTCATTTTCAATATTTAAAAACTAAAATTCATCTAAAGAATAGACAGAGACAGTTTTGATATTATTATCAAGTATCATTTTTCATCTTTCAATTGTTCAAATGTTTTCTTCCCACTAGGACGCTCATTCTAATGAATATCTCTTAATAATTCCGTTAATTAGATTTAAAAAGATAAACGCGATATTGAATTAAAATTCTTTAATTTAGACGCTATCCGGTTATATTTTTATTAGATTTAACGTTTAATCTTTGTCCGTGGCTGGGCAGCAAGAGCAAAGCTCACCAGAAGTAGGTTGCGGTCGGATCTGCTGCACCAAGTTATGAGACTTCTCCGTGAGCTGTCTAACTTGAATACTCAATTCCTTTCGTTGTCTCTGCAGATCACCGACCAATTGTTGAACCCGTCTCAATTCCGCTTCGAGGGGGCCAGTGGTTGCCGAAGTGTCCCTGGTCACGTTCCCCGCGTATCTTCTCGACGCTTGAAGCTTCTGTCGAAGCACAACCAGGTCCTGTTCCAATCTCGCATTCTCGGCCACCGTCTCTTCGAGTTTCTGAAAGAGAGAGACACGAGAGAGGGAGAAGATTATTCCTTGTTCTTGACGCGTGCCACTAATAGTTCGACAAGCTAAAGTCGACGATATGAGCAGAACGAAATTTATCTATTTCTGTGCTTTTGATTCATTTACCTGGAAGAATACCGGCTTTACCTGGAAACAATGAATGGGACGATTAAATCAATTTCTTTTTAACAACCGCACGATGCATGCTATTTCTCTACTTTCTATATATATTCTATATATATAGAATATATATATATATATATATATATATATTTATATATATATTGTTTCGACAAGAGGAGAAAATCCTCTTATTTTTCACTTTGGAAGAAATTCTTCATTCTTTTCGAAAAATGGAACGAAATTCGGACGAAAGAAAAGTTCTCGATTGAATTCGTCGTCGAATAGAAAATCCGCGCGAAATCGATTCAACTTTTATCCTGCGCCTCTTGTTCGAGTTCGAAAAGATTAAAACTCTAGAGGTAGAAAGGGAATTTTTTTTTTTAAAAACGCGGCTTTAGTTTAACCGGCCAATCAAAAGACTCCTTGAGAATGATTCAGATTCATCTTACCTTCGAGTTGTGCGCCAACAACACCCTCACTCTGCTCAGCTCTTTTTCCAGCAGAAGCTGTTGCTTCCTGTATCTCTCGGCCTCGGCCAAATTGCTCCTGCTTCCTTGCAGTTTGTGCCGGAGGCCGCCTAGAGCTTTTTCCAGGATCTCCTGCAAAACGGAAATCGAGAGGATGTTAATTCGTTGGAAAAAGTGAACGAACTTTTCGTAAATATTGGATAAAAATGATTCGTCGATGGTTAATTTTATATTATTTTCTCTTATATAGTTTAAAAATTGTATGACTTTATAACCTTCATAGAATTCAATTCACTGGAATTTATATTTATATTACATATTATGTATAACAAATAAGAAGTTTTCACAAATCGCATTCAATTTTACCATTTTTATGATCCTTTGAACGATATATTTCACCAAATTAAACAATTGCAAAGCAAAAACATAAGTTGATCCAATATTACGTGATCTTGCGCTATAATGTATCAATTCCAAGTACGAATACGTACACAACACTCGTCACGTATTGTGTTAATAATTCACGAGTGCGAAGAGAAAGAGCATTCTTTAAAAAAACAAAAAAAAAAAAAAAAAAAAAAAAAAAAAGAGATGAGCAGAGCTGGACGCGTTTTGGCATTTTCACAGATCGGCGGATCGCGTTACTCGCCTTGTCTTGCTGAAGACTGTGAAGTGTTCCGGATTCCTCCTGGAGCAACCGATCCAGTTTGTAGAGCTGCTGCACCTTGGCCTACGACACATAAGCGGCGCTGTGAGTTAACCTTGAAGCTTCCACCCGAGCGTGGAATGGATTCGCGTTTCAACCGGAATCTAGCGATTCCGCTAGAACGAGCGATGCTCGTTGTGTCGTAATCGTCATTGAAGAAAAAAAGAAAAAAGAAAAAATTGCGGTTTTTAATACAACGTCTCGTATTTCGACGCGTATTAATCATAATAACAACGTACAAAGCTGCACAAAGGATCTTTAAATCGTATTCGAGTTCGTAATTTTCCTAACCCACACGCGTCGTCTCCTTATTTATTTCGTTCTCGATTTTCCAGGTCGGTATTATGCACCGTTATGGAAGATTCCGCTAATTCGTATTTATCATGAGGACATTTTCTCGGTAGGTAAGGTAATTTGTAGGGAAGTGCACAAAAGTAGTATCTATTATGGTACAAAGGGAAAATAATTCTTGACATGTACACATATATGTATATCAAACGAAACGTGTTATTCTGTCTATGTTTCTTACTTCTTTTATAGCAACTTGGTAGACAATCTGCTTTTTTTTCCCATTTCCGTTACTCTCTGGAGAAAGAAATATTTTTTCAGACACATATTCTTCTTGACTTTCTTGCAAATAGGAGATTCGCATTTTTCGATTGCATTTTTAGTTTTAAAATTATTTTACATCTCGTTACTTAATCCTCGAGAAATTAACAGTATACAATGAGGTTATAGACGTGCCTATGGCATCGTCACACAATCGTTTTGGATTTGATTGCATTTCTTTCTTTTTTTATAATTATTTTTTCTTTTTTTTTGTACATATCAAAATATTGACGTTTCCCATTGGGAAAATGTCAACTTTTGATTCCACATTGAATATGTCAATCAACAATAGCTTTGAAATTTTATGACGTATATTCTAGAGGATACAATACACTTTAAACATTTTTACCAGTATTAACAAATTAACAATTTTAAATAAAATACATCACATAACACAATAAAAATATTACCAAATTACTAAATTTAAAAATTTCATAATATACTTTAGTAAGTAATTGTAGCTTACTTTAAAAAATTGTATGATATAACCTAACCTATTCTAGAGATACAATACACTTCAAACATTTTTACCAGTATCGATAAATTACTTTGAAATTTCATAGTGTTCAACGTCTAATAAATAAAAAATACTCTCAGCTTACCACAGATAATAAACCTATAATAAATTCGTAGACATTTCAAACTAAACTAAATTATCAAATCGTATCAGAACTCGTCAATTAGGATTGTTAAGCCTAACCATTTAAAATAACATTCGATGATCGATACCTGCAATTGTCCATGGTCGGGGCTCAATCGGTCCCAGTCCCTTCGCTCCTCGGCAAGCAAACGTTGCTCCTGCACCTTCTGATTGAATTCCAACCGATGATCCCTCGAATTGTCGTGCGCCAGATCGTGTCGTGAACCGGATACACTGTTGGTCCCATTGGCAGTGTTGCGATTGTACAGGGAGCCCAACTTCACCATATTGTCGACCAAATTCACCAGCGGTTTGCCTTTCTCGTACTTGATTTTAACGATAAAGTATATATATATATATATACATGCATATATATATATATATATATATATATATATACATATATACATAGTATATATAAATACATATATACATAATATATATACATATATATACATATATATATATACACAGGTTGCATTGAATTTCCAACTTCGATCAACTTGGCCAAGTTTCTTAATTAATCGGACTAATCCTCGAAAAACTTGCCACCGGAACTCGGACGGAATAATTAAGCAGGGGCCGTCGAAATAAATTTCGTTTCGTTTAATTCATTATCGCCACTCGTATCGTATCGATCTTTCGATTTTAACGACTCGTGCTTAAAAATATCTTGGGAAAAAAATTTTCGAGAGAAGCGACCCGTTTTTCGAGAGTAAAAATTTTCGAAATTGAAAGTTCGGAAAGTTTTTTTTCGTACCTGCTTCTCGAGATCCATCAGGTGTTTCTTCAGTTCGTCGAGCTTCTGAAGGTTCTCCAATCGTCGCGGTGTATCGAGTTCTGCCAATCTAGCCTGCGGGTCAACAAAAGATGGACGATTTAAAACAACATTTCCCATCTAACCAATCAGTTCTTTCTAATGGTGCTCCTCCTCTGCGAATTCTACACTCCTAGTTTCATCGGAAGACATTGAACAAAGTCGATACCCAGGAGAACGAAACGCGAAGAAACGAAACTTACCATTTTACCATTTTACCATTTTACCATTTTACCATTTTACCATTTTGCCATTTTACCATTTTACTTTCTACTAGTTAGAGATTTCTATCCCAATCACTTTTCACAAGTCGAGAAAATTCGAGGACCAGTTTTATACATGGAAAAATACGATAGAACGGAACGACAAGAATTGTCCCACAAGAAAGAAGAAACATTATCATCACCACGATAGAAATACCGAATCCAGATATAATAAAATTCGAGCCTGGCGACGATTAACCTCACGATCCTCGAGATTGGAGAACAACGTCGTACGCGCCTCAAATTCACCTTTCTAATCGAGATCGACGAGAAGAAAAAGAAAAAGGAAAAGGAAAAGGAAAAAAAAAAATGAGATAACACGATGAGGGGTGGTTCAAACTTTTAACACGCTCCTACAAGTGTCGAAAGTAACATTTGTGCATTCGATGGAACGATGGAGGGGAAAGGGAAAATTTTATTTGAAAAATAAAATTTTTTTATTTTATTCGAAAATTTTGAAACTCGAATTCTGGTCAACGCAAAGAAAAGAAGAAGGAATTGAAAAAATAGAGTTCCGTTCTAATTCTTCTTTTTTTAAATGTATCGATAAAATAGTATTTACAATTCGAATAAATTTTTTTTTTATATAAGCAATTTAAATTTGAGTCGAAACGAGGATAGAGAGAAAGAAAAAATGATCCATATGATGACGACGAGAGAGCGAGATAAAAGTCCTGTCTCTTGTTTGATTCAATATAATATGGACATTGGTATAATTCTGATTTCTATTTTTTTTTTCTTTTTTTTACATATTTGAAATGAACGTACGGAAACAAGAATCTTTCTTCTTGTTTAAATAAAAAACACCTGGTGTTGTATATTATTATTAATCGCATATTCAATTGAATGTAAATAAAAACCGATTGCTCGAATTAGAATTATAAAAATTACGTGAAAAATAGTTTCAGTTATATTATTATATTTGTACCTGTACAGATTGTTTCGGAAAAATACGTACGTATCGCCTCGAGGCAATCGAGTCGGGATAAAACGAGTTAGGTGAATGTGATCTTACGTAAAATGGGTTTAAAGTCGATTAGGTCGGTGTGTGTTAGATGAGAACGATAAATTGTGCAACTGGTCGAAACTACACGTTTCTTTTTTCACTCCATGTAAATTATTCGAAAACGATAAATTCGTAAATTTCGTTCGTAATATCCAAAATTTGTGGAAAATTTCTCTTTCAAAAAAAAAAAAAAGAAGAAAAAAAAAACGACATCGAAGAAATTTAGAATGGTAGAAATTTCGTTTGATCGATCAGGTATGATGAAAAAAAAAAAAAGAAGAAGAAAGAAAAAAAGAGAAGCATCATGCTCGAGAATGCGGCCGATCAAAGGACAAAGGTGGAATTCTTTTCAGAGGAGGAAAGTTCCTATTCTAATGACGTTCCTCTCCTCGAAACCGATGTCCTTGAAACCGGTTCTCCGCCGTGAACCGCGCGGCATTTTTCGCGCGGATAACAGGATTCTCGATCGCGACTATCTATCAACGTCCCCGTGAAAATATCGATCTTTCTTCATTTTTTCCTTCTTAAAACATCCACGAAATTTTCGAGACGAAACTCAGAAGGGCAGATGCGTGTTCGTGTTGATCGAAAATTGAATTTGTTGAAAACGATACGATTAAAGCGTAGTTCAAGATGGAGCTTATTTTTTTTTTATTTTTCAAATATCATTTTTAAGATGGAACGGAGCAAGAATTTCTACGAAACGAAAACTTACATTTGAAAGAAATCGGGTATCATTTTCACAAAAATCTATACCCCCTCCCCTCCCCCCTTTCTTCAAAAAAAAAGCTCCATCCGCTCGAACGACACTCGTCGACAATGCGAGAATTGCGCAACGAAAGAAAACGATGTAAAAAAATCGCAGATGCGAGTCGAAGAGGAGGGAAAGATTAGGTACTGGAGCAGCCTTCGTCATACACGTGGTCCCCTCGTTTAATTGGGCGAAACGGTGGTCTTTCTGAAAAATGTTCGGACCTGTGCCTCGATCTCCATCTGGCAGGTCTCCATCGCTTTGTAGATGGTGGCGTTCTGCCGGCGTAGCTGGATCAGCAGGAGCACCAACTCCTCGTGGGTCCTGCCGAGGAGTTCACCGGCGGAAACGCGAACCAGTCCGTGGGCTCCTTGCTGGTGCGCCAACTTGCACCCACCCTCTGCTCGCTGGTTGCTCTGTCGAGGCATGCAATCTTTCGTTAGGGATACGCGGGTGCGGGAAAAGAAACGAAAACTGGCTCTCTCCCCTCGCGGCGAACAATTCGGTGTGCGGAGAAAAAACGAGGAAAAAAACCTTGACGAAAAAATTGTAGCGTCGACTCGGCTCGCCTCGTTTCGAGGACCGATTCGATCGAGCTCTGAAATCAATACTTTTTCTATTCTATTGAAATCGAGTTTCATTTATTTTCAGCTCATTTCTAGCTTTGGTTAGGGATCGAGATTTTTTCCAAACCAAATTGTGTGTTCCATGACCATTCTTTTTATAATCGTAATTTGAGTAAATTTGCGATAAGGAAAATTTAAAAAAAAAATTGATGCGAAATTTAAATTAATATCGACGTAAACGAGCGTGAAAAATCATTGAAATGGAAAGTGAGAGCAACTGTCACGGCGCGCAGGTTGGGAACCACTGAGCTAGATTTATGTAAATATCGAAATATTTGATATCATGAAATGATTGTATGTTATTAGGCTTGACAAGTTTTTTTAAGCTCGAGTTGTTAAGCTTAACAATGATCATTGAAATGGAATGATTAGAAAATTGAAAATGACAGACGCGAGATGTACATGTGCGCGTATTGTAACGAATATAACGTGTGACGAAGGTTTGTTTTCTTTCTTTTTTTTCCACGACACGTTTTTTTATTAATCTTGACACCGAATTATTTCACCATAGATAAGACTGAAAAGCGAGAGAATGTTTCGGCGTTTGTACATGTTGATGCATGGTTAAGAAGCGTTTTCGGTGAATAATTGGCATGGGAAGAATGAAAAGAATGAAAAAAAGAGAAAAAAAGAGGCGTGAGAAAAAAAGTAAATCCGTTCCATTGATCGAATGCGGAAAATGGATGCAAGAAACAAAAATCGCACGAAAATTTGCTCAAACGTGTATTAAAGTAAATGATAAAGAAAACAGTGCTCAAATGATACTGAAACGAAGAACCTATATTATTAGCAAAACCTACGCTTAAAAAATCGACGTTGTTAAAAAAAAAAATCTACCAATTCATTCTACTAATACAATCTACTAGAAACGCTGCAGCATATGTATGCGTATATCCATCCACAATACACAATAACAATAAAGAATTCGCAATTCCTGCATTAATAAAATAACCTAATTTACCTATCGACAAGCCTAAATAATCGAAAAAGTTACAAATCCCGATAATATTCTCAACATAATTAACACTTAACCTTACTAACTTAACCTAAAACACGTTCGAAATTACTACGCACACAAAACCTCTTTACTACCCACTCAAAACAAACTTCAATAAACCTTTGATCTCTTTCTCTCTCTTTCTCTCTCTGTCTCTCATCTCCATCCAAATCTACCTGCAGAGAATTATTCTCGACTCGTCGATCCCGCGAACGATCTTCCTCGTACCTGTGTTCAAGTGGTGCTGGCCGCAGGTTCGGTGGAAACCATTCCTCTCTTTTCCATCGAACGAGATTCGAACAACGAAGCTCAAAAATGGGACGAAAGGAGGCGATATAGTGGAGAACGTCTCATATCGAGAGACGTTCTATTACCGTGAATAACCGTGGCACAATGGAGAGCGGCGAAGAGCGTCGCGAAGGTGGAAGGAAGACTTTGGAAGACTGGCGTGATGCCCGGCCTGATCGACTCGCCTGTTCACCGACTCCTACAGTACCCGGCATGCACCGTGGTTCCTTGCTCGGGCTTGTCGAGCTATCGTTTTGTATGTTTTGCCTTGAGATCTGGCTGGCTTCGCCTCGGCCTATGTTCCCTCGGTTAAGGCGGCCTTTGTAACTGGGATCTGATTATAATGTCCAGCTTAAATACCCTCTCTACAAGGAACGCTATTCAATTGATGAGAAAATTGCGTTGATCTTTTTTCTTTCTTTTTTTCTGGATTGGAAGTGTATGCCATAGAGGTTAGGAAAACGTAAATTAGAAATAATGAAAATCTGATGTTGATGAGAGATCATATGGATTATTTATACATGAAAAATTGATTAACTTTATGTTTGAAAACTTATGAATTTTAGATATATAATTGATTGATATTCCCTTTTTATAATTGGGATCTGATTACAAATACTCTTAAATACTTTTCTTATAAGAAAATTATATTATAATTTTTATTTAGTTTTATATTATAGTTTTAAATTATATTTAATTTTATATTATAGTTTTTTTCTTGGATTGAAAATGTATATAAAGATTATTAAAATGTAAATTAAAAATACTGAAAGAATGAAAGGATATATAGATAATTTAAAAGATAAATTGATCTAATTGCATTTTTTGAAAATTTTTCAATTTTTAGCATCAAGATGTATAATCGGTATTTTTCAGTAACTAAATGGTTATTAAAAAGACTTGATTATTTGATTTTTGAACAGCACATATGCGAATGCGTTTCTCTTGCGTTAAACTCTTTGAGCGATGCTGTTGTTTAAGGCTTGTTTCTTCACGGAACTTTTTCCTCTTTGTCGTTGGCTGATTCGACTTGTTCCGTTTGCTTGTTGGTTGCAAAGACAATAAACGGACACTGCTCGAAATAATTGGAAGATTGTGTTACGTTTGCCGGTCTAAAATAGTTCTGCTAAAATAATAGAAGCACAGAAATTGTTGCATTCCATCTCTCGTGGAGAAATGTAGTTACAAAATATTTTTTTGAATTCAATTGTTTGGTTCAAAAAATATAAAAGTATCCTAATAGTACGTAAATACAAATATTTTTTCATTTTGGAATTGTTCTAATGAAATCTAGATAAAAAAAAAAAAAAATATTAAACATATCTTTTAATTAAAATAATTATTTTTTTTTTAAATATTTTTTAAAAAGTTTCTAAAATTATCAAATATATTTTTCAGAGATTGATTATTATTAACCATTCTTATTTAATCCTTTTCTCTCCATAATTTCTTATTACATCTTTTATTTCGTGTATTTAACATTTTATTTTGAAGTACGCGAAAAGACATTTTTAAAATTTTCTATTTGTATGTTATGCGCACTGGAAACCATTTTCAGTGGCAACCGAGATTTTCGGATTCTTTCTTCAAGAGAAACTCGAAAAACTCCTCGACTTTCAAACTATCGGGATTAAGACCCTCCATAGTCTCGAAACTTTTAAGTTTCTGAGAATTCGGGAAGCTTTTAACGGTTCAAAGACGTAATGTCCTACCTGATATCGTCGTTTTCAAGTATCCTAGCTTTTCAAACGATCTTATTTCGACGAAACGGATATACTTTCGCGAGGGAAACTCGCGAAAACTTTCATCGTGAGTATATCCTTCCTTCCATCTTTATGGATAAGATATAAACATTGAGTATCCTATTTGTCGAATACTTGCCTATTTTTCCGTAATGATACAAATTATTATAATGAATTCAATGTTAATTAAAATGTTAATTAAATTATTATAATGTTCTTTTTTTTTATGGATTTTATCTTGTCCGGTTCAGCGAAATGATATTAAATATTCCAATAGTAAATTTTATTAAATTCGTCTTCATTGCCTAATTATGAAAAAAAAAAAAAATAATAATAAATGCAAAAAATGTAAAATCGAGTTTTTCTATATCTTTAGACAGTTGCTAAAATTTTGATGAAATTCTTGCAATGAAATATATTTAGTTAAAAAAAAAATTAACTTGTTACGAACATGTTCTTCAATAGAGATTAGAAACTCGATGTTTAAGTTGCGAATATTTGAAATATTCTTCTACATTGATATAGCATCAAAAATAACAAAAATTTCTATTCTTCAACGATTAAACATAATTAAGCTCACCCACAGCATCGATCGAGAATGGATCGAAACAAAGAAACTCTTCGGGTGAATGTTTAACGAACGATATAACGCTTGTACCAACATTCTATTCAAGGCGAGTTTCCATTGTGAAGGCAGCTTAAGGCCTGTCTGCAGTTGCCTGGCACGGTGCCCTTGCTGACCACTGCTGACCGTATGCAGGATCGACCCTGGCCCTTACTTCTCTTAATCCTCTTTTCTTCTCATCCTTCTCTCGTTTACCTCTTTCGTTTCTCCCTCTCCTTCCAACTTCTTCATCTTTTTCTTCTTTAACTTCCACTTCTTATCTTGTACTTCTCCTCTCGAGTTTTTCATCCTTCTTTTTCGTCCTCACTGGAGAACCTTTTCAACCACTATCTCTCTTAACGTATGTAGTAGGAGGACGACGTTTGTGTTATTTTCTCGTTGAATTCGCGTGTCCTGCAGCGTCCAAATAAAGAGACGGCTCGAGAAGGGAGGTTTGCTTGCTTTGCTTGCTTTCCGGTCTGTTTCCATTCGTATTCTCGAGTGCGAAATGGTGTCGTGGAATTTTTTCGATACGATTCGATAAAATGTGAAAAAAGAATTTCGGCTAATTCCAAGATTATATTCAATAATTTTTTAAGTATTCGATACGTTTAAATAATTAAGATTTGAGAGTAGATAATTGTGACGAACGAAAACACGATTTTATTGTTCAAATATTTGCGATAAAAGGACAGCTAACATCATTTGATTGGAATATTAAACGTCCTTTCAGAACGGAAGCCAAGAAAAGAAATTCGTGTTCAAGAAGGAATTGTGATAAAACGAGGACAAGTTATATAATATTATGCACATGTAACAATTGTAAAAAATTTGCTTGAATTGCGTCCCTTGTAAAGTAAATTTTTTATTCGAAAAAGTATAATTATATATATAAAAGTATATATTTGTATATGTGCGTAATAAAGTGCAGTGAAGTTTATAGAGTATTTTTGTGTACAAAAAAATCATGCTAAGAGAAGTAATTATATATGTTGTCAGAATCATGCTAAACATATATTAGGCATACTTGTTTTAAATATGTAAATTATTTTAAGTGAAAGAAAAATTATTTGTTTAAATAAAATATTTATCTTATTAGTGAAAATAATTAAATTTCGATTCAAACAATTTTAATTAATGAAATTATTTCAAATAACTAGACTAATTCCTTTTCTCCTTTATATTAAAATATCAAAGAATATCTTCTCATTATCATATAAAAATATCATTATCGTATTAACAGCGATAATTCGATATATAATTATACTGAATGAACATCGTTGTATTAATCTGTAACTGATCAAATCTCGAGTAGAAAATGCTATAATTCATTAAAAACATCTCAATATATTTTGATAAAAATATCTAAAATCTATTTTCACTTTTACCTTAAATCAAATTAAATCCAAAACATTTTTTACATAACATCGAATTATCAAACGATCGCTATTATCAGTATATCATCACAGAATTCGCAATAGTAAATTATATATATGTAGTTTGATATATACATATACGTTACGTTACATACAATTATGTTAGGTGAGCAATACAATATTAATTGCAACCGATCAAACTTCAATAGAGAATGATATAATTCATCGATCTCGATATAGCATCTCGATATATGTGTGAAAGATAAGAATATCCAAAATCCTTTTTCTCTTTTAATCTAAATCAAAGAGTCTAGAACACTCTTTTCTTTTTTTCTGCTCCACATTTGTTAGATATTTCAGTATTAATAATACGACAACGTCATTAAAAAATTCGAAATAATAAATATCGAGATTATCTCTGATAAATATATATACACTTATGCTAAGTGAACAACCGATTATTAATTGCAATGAAATCACTAGGAAAGAATGGCACACGTGTTCGTTATTATCGAACATGTACACGCATGCATAGTAAAAGATGCATCTCTCGATCGCGTATGATAATAAATTTCTGGAACAAGCAGGTTGCGCTAATGAAAATGCTTGGAAACTCGGCATCAAACAGACGCAGTTGAATCGTACTCTCTTCTCCTCGGACACCAGATTGGAAACATCGAATCCAACCAATGGCTGAATTCCTCGCGTAAAGGGGACCGTACGCGTGCATTCGTGAGTTTCAATGGCTTTCATCGGTTCCTTCGAGCATGCCGCTTGTCCTCTTCCATAATGGATATCATTCTCTCCATACTGTTCCCGGTTTCGAATGCTTTATACACATGTTGAACGAGTTGACTGCGTTCACAACTCAATACATTTGATTCGATGTTTTTCATCCAAGGATCAAATTGTCGACACGAGATACCGATACGAAAGAAAACCATTATATACTGACTTGTCGAACATTGTGAAAGTATATTCTAGAAATATAAACTATAGTGTCGGTGGTAACTTTAGAAGAATAGGATACTAGTGTAGCCCTCTAGTGATAATTTAACACAATTCACTTAGGGCTAATCGACATTGTATGTATTCTTTGAAAAATGATTTTGAAACTCGGGTTTACTGTGTGATCAATAGTTAATGGTACAGTTTTGATGAAGTTTAGTTGGATTTGTACTGTTTGAATTACAAAAGTTTCATTAGTTTTCCGTATCATTCCGTATGTTGTCTGTACGAATATCGAAAATATGGTTAATCTTAGACGTGACTTCTTGATCTTTAATAAATTGTGAAGAACACTTCGTTTACGAAACAATTTTTTATTTTTATTAAAATTGAAAGTTATTAAATATATTGAATCTATTTATATTTGAATTGAATGATTCGTAACTTTGGATCAACAACATGTTTATTCGATCAGATACGAAGTTTAACGGTCTAACAACTAATCGATCTACGTGTCTAAACAAACGTGAACTAACCAAAGTCGATAACTCGACAAACCACAGCCACGTGTAAAGTGAAACTTTAATACGATGACCGTAATATCGCCCGCTATAAACCGCAGTTCTAACGTTTCCACATTTTCCGCCTTAGTAGATAACCTATCATAATGCATAACTGAACAATTAATCTAAACGATCTATAACCAATATACAGAAACATCTATAACAATAAATACTAAACAATATATTATTCTCTCCATTGAACTGAAATCTTTTCTTAATATTTTCAAATATTTTCAGTTTCTACAATTAGACGTTAAAAACAAAATTACAAAACATTATTTTATACAAAATATAATAACATTATTTTATATTAGCAACATGTTTAGAATATATTAGCAAAGGATTCTAATGCAAGGTTAATTAAAATTCTACGCGATTTTGATCTAATCCTTTTCAAGCAACAGCAAGGTTTTTGCAACTAACCAATACCGAATCAGTGGAATAATCGACTAAACAAGGTTTCGATCGACTTATTCGGTGCGCAGCAATACAAAATTGAACGCGATAACGAGGGAACTCGTATGAGTTCGATCGTCTCGAACATTCTCGCGGTCACGAAAATCGGAAACGCGTTCGTAATTAATTCCATTCGTACATCGCTGCGAAATCGGCGGCTCACCCGAGGCAACGTTTTAATTAATTAGACTAATGGAATTTACATGCTGGAACGATAATGCGGACTACACACTCGCGAAAGGACAGAATCTTGGGACAAATCGTGTAACGTGCGAGCGTGTTTAGTTTGCTTGTCGCGTGACATTAATTGCATGTACATACGCGTGAAATGTGAAAAAATAGTGTAACGATCACAGAGAGGGAAAGGTAGAATGGAAACTAAGAGAATAGAAAAGAGTGTGAGAAAAAAGCAAGTGATCAGCAGAAGCTGTGTATCGTTATGTTGGATTCCTTTTTCTTTCCATGCTTCGCCATGCCAATCAACTCGAAGATTCCGTTTGCGATTAATTAATTTTTCGCTCACCCTTTTGTGCAGCAACTCATTGTACTCCCATACGCGTTGATTCTGCCTGATAGCCGTGCCTCCACCACGATCCACTTCTCTGCCGATTGGGCTCACCATTTTCCTTTCAACTGTAAAATATATTGCGAAAATAAGAATAACATTTAAGAAGTGTTTTTTATATGAGATGTGTCTTGAAGCAAATGATAGATTTAAAATCATTTAATGGAATTATTTAAATCATGTCATGCGTGGAGGTTAGAAAATGCTTACAAGTAGAGGTTAGAAACAATTTCAAATCGTTTTATATCTGTCGCTTTGTTGTAGAGTGGCATAAAGGAGTGGACATTTTTGGAATGAAGGAATTTTTTTTCATTAGATAAATTAAAGAAAATTAAATTTTCTTTGGTATCGTCGAATTCTATTATGCACAGGTATTTTTTTTCGAATTTAAATATTTCATTCTTAGATCTTTCCAATAGATATCACCAGAAGATTTTTAAAATAAAATAAATTTTTAATTTTGAATATATAAAGAAAGTTAAATAATATTTTATTTTCAGATTTTTTATTAAATTCAAATTTTCGATACATATTTTTCTATGGAGTAGCAGCGATATTTATCTCAAAGTTCACGATATTTAAAATTTCTTATAAAAGATATATTTTATATTACGGGCATATGTGAATATGACAGAAGTATCGATGATAAGAGATTTCCTTTAATCGTAAGTGAAACCTGCTAGACAGAAATATAGAAAGCGGCATTTATATGCATAGTGACAAAAATTCAATACGAGGCAAATATTGGCTCGATATCACTTAACCGCTATTCGCATTTGAGCATTGACCATTTTCACTAATGTTTGCTCGATAAATTATTCAGTTATACATGATACTGCATTAAGTATAACTAACATACTATATACGTACATATACATTTATATGCATTAATATAAAATTTCAACAGAAAAGTCGTAATACGATATTATAATATTTATTACGTCAATTTAAAAAATTTCTCAGAGCTTATGAATAAAACCAGATAATTAAATCTCCAATTTTTCTCATCGCAAATGACAGAAACGAAACAATTATTATTAATAAACCAATTTAACCAAAGATTAAACTTATTTCTTACGAGACACGTACAACGATAGTCCCGTTCTACCCATTTCTCTAATTCTCTGATATCCTTTAGCATCGAAAGAGGTTAGCGGTTTGCCCCAATGTACGTGGGATTTCTATTATTCCTCGTGTCGCTTTGTGCGCCTAGTCTTTCCCCGCGGATATCTGAATAATTAACCCCACAGCGGACTTCCACCCTTCTTCTCTTTTCGAGAGAGTTCACCCTCTTCTGATATTAATTCCTCGAGTTCGGATTCAATTTGTGTGATTACCTTCTTTCGTCGTGCTTGCTTTTTATCCTCGTTCGAACAAAGATCGAGGACGCGAGCTTTCCTAAGAATTTTCGGGAAAGGGAATTTGAAATGTAATTTAATTCCAAACGATATTCGTGTTGCGACACGAATGGTGGGGTCGGGGTGAGTAAATTTAGAGAGACTGAATGAACTTTACGCGAATGTTTGGGACGAAGATTCAATAGTTATTTGTGTTCGAATTAAGTCGAGGAAACGTATTAAGATGGAAATGTGGATGATAGTTTGAAGAAGGATTAAGATTTTATTGACAGATATAAGTACGAGTTATTTAATCAAGATTTAGAGTTTGAATATTTTCCTAATTTTTAACTATATTAAATTATAACTATATTAAATAAACTATAATATTATTTAAACTATATTTGTGTTATTTTCAAATTCTTTTGTAAATTATCTCTATTTATAGCGTAGATATGTAGGATATATCTTCTTACTTGGACTGTGAACTCGTATGTCGCTGTCACTAGGGCTGGAGACTCGGTGGTCATTCATGGAAACGACCCTTAACGCCCCGGCCGGACTCATCAATCGTTGAGTTGCGTGTCCGCCCGGAGATGTTAACCTTATATCCTTTCCATCGTTGTTGGTGTTGTTCAACCTACAAAGTTTCGATATTAAGCGGATAGAATATTTTACCTCGTTCATTTTCTTCCTCCATTATTAATTAAATCTAAAATTTCTTGCTTAGTTATTACAGAGAGATTTTCTTTCGATTTTTATCATATTTCGTTTATAATTCACTTTAACGTTGTACGGGTATATTTTATATTGTGAAAAGTAATCGTAGCTGGATAAAACGATTAATCATTGAATATAATGGAATATAATGGAACAAAAGTACCGGAAGAGATAAAACGTTAAGAATGGGATTAAAGAAATTTATTCCCAGTTAAATTACTTAATTAATAACTGTCACAATTCGAAACATTTTTCGATATTCAATTGGGAAACGTATATAACTGACTCTTTTTTTTATCGATATTATAATTATAGCGTTATTATTATAATTGATACGAAAGAAGTAAGGAGAGATTCGATCGTTCGAAATTGAGAGATATCTATTAATAAACTTGACGACAATGAGTCGAAAATTTCCTCCCCCCTTCCTCATTTCAATTTCTATACCCTGTAAATGTTCTTTGGACAGAACAGTTTTTATCATGGAGGAACACGATCGAAGTGGAATTGCTGACGACGTTCGAAAGCATACGCTAGTTTCGAGTCCTCTACGTATCCAAGGTGTGAAACAGCCGGGGAAAATGTGTCACCGAGGGAATTCCAATGCCGACGCGACGCTTCTCGCCAGAGAATGCTCTCGAATTCGTCCATGGTAAGCAGTTTCTCGCATTGGAATTTTCAAACGTGTGCGCGAAAATTGTTTCAAAAAGTCCTTTGGCAACGTGACTTTTTAAGAAAGAAATTTTTAATTTTCATAGCTCGTGTGCATTTTTGTTAAAGATTCATTGCATCAGAATATCGAATAGCTCAAGAAACATTTTTTCTCGAAGCTACAATTATTGGCCATTAAACACTAATAAATATTAAATATTTAAAAAATGAAATGAAAATTCCATATATCAGACTGAAAGTGTATATATTCTCGATTAATCTAATTTTTTCTTATTCGTTGAAAAACAGTTTTGGGACTCCGTTCTTCACATTTTTTTTTTTCTTTTCGGCACTCTTTTTATCTTATAGAGAAAAGGAACACTTACATCGTAGATCCGGTTCCAATGTCACCGTTGCTGGCGACTCGTAATAGCTGCGAATTGGCCATGTCGTTTTCCGATTGTCTGACCGATTGAGGGGTGGATTGGTGAAGGGGCAGGGGCTGCCTGTGCGTGGCATTGCTCCTCGGCAATGGAAGGGTGGACACCGTAGCCGGGGGTTGAGTTTGCGTTCTTTGAGCCAGTTGTGAAGTGCTGACAGCTCTCGGCGGAAGTGGATCCCTCCCTATCACCGATCCAGATCCGGACGCTGCGAATAAAACATTCCTCGTCATGAAACACTGCCCTCCTCTTCGACGTGCATCACGAGAATGAATTTTCAATGTTTATTTATCGAGATTGGAAAAAAAGGGGGGGGGGAAGAGCATCCCATCAATATTTGCGCGAATGTGTTCTTTTTTTTTTTTTGTGAAAAAGTTAAACAAATTTTCAGCGAAATATCGAATGTTTTAAATAGAAAATGTGATTTAATTATTTTATTATATATTTTGAGAGTCAAAATTACAGTTAAGAGAAATTAAGTTAAATTAAGATATTCGGTGATTTTCACAGGATGACGCATATTTTTTCCTAATATTTGAATGTTTAATTCATTTAAATGCTTCATATATAAAAATATCCTCCATCTGCTGTGCGAATGTTAAGAGAAATTAAATTAAAGTTGAAACGATATTCGGTGATTTTCAACGTATATTTTTCCCAATATTTAAGTCACTTAATGTTACTTCATAGAAAATATCCTCCATCTGCTGAGAATCAGAGTTGAAAGAGTATTCGTTTGCAAGGTTAAAGTACCGCGACATATTGAATATTAAAGGGATACAAGTTTTAATTAAATATTTCTCATGTATATATATATATATATATATATATATATATATACACAATATTCAAAGCTAATAATAAATACGGTTCCGCTTGAGAAATGTTGAGAAACGGCATAACCACGTACAATAACGCTTTCGATATTTACGATCAAAATGGCACGCCGCGTCCGCAGCAGCTAATCTTTATTTCTTGGAAAAAGCAATGCAATCGCGGGACTTTCACCTTAGGAATTTCCTGCCCGCACTTTACACTCATCGCGCCTTTAGTTATTTCGTGCTGTGGTTAGGGAAACATTCATCCACACAATACAACTGCAACGTTAATATTCATATAAGTTCATGGGAATATCGATTTGGAAATAAGCAATGCGATTTCTCTCACCACTTTGTTGGAAGTTTGTAAAAGTGTTGATACGTCAGAAAAAAAAAAAATAGAAATTTTCTTTTCACTGCTCTTTTTAAGATTTTTAAAAAAAGTATTTGATTTTTTTTAAATTCACCATACAAAACAATTAATCGAATATGTGAATAAAAATGAAAAATAAATTCGATATTTTTTCTTTAATATTCGAATTATTCTTGCAATTGATAAGTTCAAATTAAATTTCAAAATTCCATCTAAACGAAACCAAAAGCGGCCAATTAAGATCGAGAAGAACGATTTATCGAGTTTATTAAATGGCAATTTGGCAAGGATTGACAAACGGGAGCACTCGACCTGTTTCTTTTCGAAATGAATTCCAGATCACGTTTGTAAGTTCGATTAGTAGTATAATCGAAAGGATAAGCCGGACTCTCTATTTTCGACGATTTTGCAAAGCAAATGATTCAGTGATTAGATAAATTGCATTTGTGCGAGCACAAAGAACCGCATTGCATCGATTAATTATGGGATTTGAACTGTGGATTTTGTATTTGCGATGTTCGATATAATTAAAGATCAAAGTCTTAATATATATATATTAAGATAATCGATAAATAATTTTTATTTAAAAAAAAAAAAATTATTAGAATTACAGAAATGAATGTTCTGTAGATTTGAAAGATAGTAGATTTATTCTACGAGTACTCGTGACGCATAGATTAAAATTGGTGAGTAATACTCGGGAGTACATAAAAGAGTAGATTTAAAATTTAGAGGATATTCTTCTCTTTGTATTCGAGATAAATTCAATTAACTCAAGGACAGAACACGTCATTGTCACATTATTCTTCGTAAAATCAATTATTGTATACACTGACACAATATATCACGCATCGCCAAGCGATTGTTTCTCTGCGAATGTGGCAGAACGACTGAAAAGGAAGAAATTTGGAAAAAGTTAGTTGTACGGTAAAATTTCGCATTTTACATTTTTCATCTATTAATTTCCAGTCGAAATCAATATCAATATCTGTACGAGAAAATGTAGAAAATTCAAGGGATAAAAAAAAAAAAAAAGAAGGAAAAATATGTCACCGTTTCATTATTGAAATTCGAGCCGGGTCCTCGATCGAATTTGAAATTCCGAAGCGGTATGGAGGATGCGACGACGCGGGCCAAAGTAATTGAATCCAGCCCGCTATTTTTACGAACAACGGGCGTCTGTTAACGCGAACGATGCGGAGAATTTCCCGTGAAAATGCGACGAACATGAGGACATCTATCGGGAGAAAAATTGGAACGCGAAAAATTTTCAACGAACTACTACTTTCGTCCCGTTTTCGTGTTAATAATCGATCGAGATATGCGACGAATTAATTGCGATGCTTGATTCGTCAAGGTTTCAAAAAGGAATTATATCGTGGGATAAATAGGACGTCGTTCGGTGATAAAGCTAAATTTACAATTAGAACGACCTTTCCTATATAACGTAATTTGAATTAGTGTCACGTCGGTTTTAGGTTAGGTTACCTTGAGTTGCATTTATTCGCACGGTAAAACGAGCATCCGGTTTTACGAGGATTAAACGATTATTTTCGTCGAGGATACGTAGTTGATAGCAATAAGTGGCGCGAGAAAACGCAAATAAACGATATTCATTGGTATTCGTCGAACTATTAAATAATTTCCCATAAATTCAATATTGTTTCAATATTCCACTGTGTAATATTCTCGTTGCTTATATATGAATTATATGAACCAGAATATCATTCGTTACCATTCGATTTAACTCTACTTCGTTACTATGAATGACTATAATCGCTCTACATAAAATGCCTGACGTACTACGATCGCTCATAGTTGCTCTGCATAAGATATAGATGCGTATTGTACATACGACGAACGATTGGAGTTTATTATACATCGAGTATCTTTCTTTTATCATTTTTCACGTAATATCATTATTAACAGTTCTTATTATTATACAATTATATTTTCAAAGTATAATTAAATATGAGTGCGTTTAAAAGTTATAAATATCCTGTTTTAGGGATATTTTTTTTTCAATAAACAAAACACTCGGATTGCAGTGAGGCGTAAATTCGGCCGCTGACGATCTTTCTCGAGCACTGTCCATATTTTTGGCGACGGAGAAATCGCCCGTAACAAAAGGATTAAAATTCGATTCGAAGAAATAAAGTAATAAAATTTTTTCTCGCCTCTACCGATAAATCTACAAATTTACAAAAAATTCTTCTCTCTCTCTCTCTCTCTCTCTCTATCACCTATCCTGTAATGTTCCATGAATTCCATGGATTTTCGGCCGATCTCGGGGGGTATCCTAGGAGAGCGTGGAACCGCGCCGAAATTCCGAAACGTCGCGCAACTTCGAGAGGGGAAAGGAGAGGCGGAGCGCGCGTGTCGCGGCATGCGGAACGCGCGTAAAGAGGAGTTTCGAGCGTTGGAGGGCGTAATTGAATCTCACGGTGGCGGGCTGTTAGCGGCGACGCGGGGGCCATAATGAGCAGCCGGATGTTTTGCGGACATGGGAACGGCGTGGAACGAAATAGAACGGAACTGGTGGTGGCCGGCCGGGAGGGGTATTACCGCAGGAACCGCCTCGTTTCAACGGAACAGACCGAGGCTGGAGACACGCGGGAAGGGACGATTTATCACGTGCAATTAGCCTCAGCCTCTGTGGAACCAGGCCATCCTGGTGCGCGTACGCTTATGTAAGAAATACGAGTCGCCTGCTGCGAGGCGAAAATGATCCGTCTTTGTAGTTGGACAGGATCATATTTTCCTTCATTTCTATCTCTGTGGTTTTATTTCAATGTTAGGAAGCGGTTCAATCATTGTTAGATGGCCATTGATTGAATTTTAAACCTAGAAATGATAGATTCTTTAATTAGCGTGATTTTTTTTTTTAGTTGAAAAATTAAGAGAGACGAGTAATTTAGGAAATAATTATTCTTTTGTTGTTATTGAAATTATTAAGTATTTTAATATGAGATGAAAATATAAATGGAATAAATATTATATTTGTCGTTAATATCGAATTAGAATATAAAATAAATTTTTTTTTTAACAAGAATTGAGAAAAAGGAATAATGAAAGTTTAAATAGAGATTTAATTTTTATGGATAAGTAGTAAATGGCTGTGATGAATCATGCAAAAAAATATTTTTGGTGACGAATATAAAGATTCCACTTTATATAGATTTTTATAATCAATTTCTTTTCATAATCAACAAATTTTTCTAGTGCAAATAATCTTTTGAAGTTCGATTTAAATGCTTATAAATATATATTTGGCATATTTCATTTTTGAGTGATATAATTATCCTTATTTATAATGAAGAGATTTGTAAATAGTATTATTTCATATTTTATTTTCTATTCGTCACATATTTCTTTCAATTGGTATAAATATGAATATTTAATACAAACGTGTATCGAAAAGCTTTTTTCTTTCAACTGACTATTGCGTTAAAACAAATTGTATCTCGAAGAAAATACTATTTAGGGAAGAAAACAGAAGAAATCGGGATAAATCTGAAGCAGGACAAAAGGATGAATCAACAACTTTCTATCGACCACACCGAAGATACACACTTAAAAAACTCAATTTCCTCGGTTGTCCCTAAGAAATCATATTAAAGCTTCACTTTAAGCTATTGTTCTCCACTTCAACCTATCGTCCTCCACTTCAGACGGCGCTCGAGTAGAAAATTTCATCCCTTGTTTTGTGAACGAGGAAAAAAAAGATGGAAAAAGAAATACAGTCGAACCTCCATAAGCCTCTAATTTTCTACACTTCCTTCTGCTCTGAAAATTTTTACGCACTAAATAAATTTACTTAAGAACTTCCTTCATTAAAATACATCTTATAGTGATCTATCTTTGCAATTCAAATTTAAAGTATATTGATTCTTACAAGATAAAGCAAATATGAAAATTGATATGCAAAAATGTCAATTGAAACGTATATTTATATATTATATATATAAATTATATATATTAATATTTAATATATTTTATTATATTTATATATAAATATATTTTATATTTAATATATATTATATTTTATATATTATATATATAAATTGTGTGTGATGAAGATAGATAGTTTTATCTGATACAAAATTAAATTGCATATAACTCAATAATTAAATTTCAATCAATTTTTATATTTGTTTTGACATCTAGAATCAACATCTTTCAAAGATCTCTCACAAATAAAGTGACTTTACCTTAAATGAATTTAATCCATAATCGATGCACGATGATGTTTATTTCCTTTTAGAATCCTTTAAAAGAAAATTCTTCTTGTCAGATGCATCGAAACGGAATACATTAAATAGCAAAATTGATCGCGAACGGTTCCTCGACATTCTTTCTCGCGATGGAATGCGTGACAGTGCATTAAAGATGACTACAATTTGCCGCTGTCCATTCTCAAACGATTCTCTTTCCTTTTTTTCTTTTTTTTTTTTTTTTTTTTTTTTTTTAAGCTTCGATGCATTTCTCGCATTCACGTAGCAGCTTTGACGACCTTTCGTTCCGATTTTGTCCGTGAAACGTTGACGTTGATGAACTGATTGATCAAGATAGGTTTGGAACGCGTGCTCTGCTTTCAAACGAAGTTTCTGTTTAGAAAGTTTCTTTAGATGCCTTGGAAAAAAATATTTCTTTTTTGAAAATTGCTGTGCATGTTTAAGAAAGTTGATGAAAAAGTTGATACTGAAGTTTCTCTTCTTAATATGCATTTTTTTGAATATCTGTGAAATATATAAATATGATTTATTATATTGTGAAAAAAAAAATACAAGGTAAATAGCGTGATAGAAAAATTGAAATAACCCAAGTTTGAGAAAATTTTTATCACTTAAAACAAAGATCGTTAAAAGAACGACTTTGGGAACTGGTGCTTTTAGCACGAAATAGAACTTAGAACCAAAGTTGGGAAGGAGTTAAAGTAATTAAACGTGTTCAAAACTCCGTGTACAACAATGCATTAATTCCATTTCGCACCTTTTTCAATTACACGGGTGAAAAATCTCGGCGAAATGCATAGCCATCGCTAACAAATTGTTCGACGCGAAAAAAATAAAATAAACCTGGATAAAATGTAAATCTTCGTCTGGATTACTTTTTATATCGAAATTGATTAAACGAAATGCGGATCTCTCGATTTATTCAATCCATATTTCCGAATCGTTGCTTTGCCATGACTTCTAAATTGCTTCATGTTGTTCAATTCTGTTTATCCATACCTTTATCAATGCAATAATTTTCTCATTAATTATTTTTTCACTCTATGAATTATTATATTTAAAGCATAATTTATTGCTCGATATAATAAATTACATTAATTTTACCTGCGTGTTTCATCAATTCCAAATATTCATCTCGATGTTATCAGATCAGATTCAAGAATCATTTTATAATGAAACGAGGAAGCGGCGATTCACGATGACGAAAAGTTAACATGTTATACTTATTAGAAATTACACGCGCGAATCGCGATGTAGTCCAAAGGTATCTGAAAAAATGTGTTCGGTGCATTACAAACAGGAAGAGCCGATTGCGCCAAAGATTTACGTCGATCGCAGCTGTCGCTTTTGGAATTCGGTCGAAATATCAGAATGGTGACATAGCATCGCGGATGTTCGCGATTTACATGGATTTATCTGAAACTGCAGCTTGACAGTGTACAAGAAGCGGACGTTTTTTCTTTACTTTTTATTTTTGCATTTGTAAATATAAATCATGACACGTGTTCCAAATTATAAAATTTCGATGTCCGTGCAATTACTGAAATATAATTATTATAATTTTATAATTTGTTATTTTTCATATCAATTTTCTATATTTGATTTAATTAAAAAAACATTGCAGGATGAAAGCAAATTTGTTTTTTTTTTCTTCAACTTTTATGAAATTGTACGACAAATATAAATTAAAATTAAAACGCATTATTATAAATAATTTGATTTTGATAGATACGCAATATATTTATGTATATGAATCATAACCTTAAATCATAATTTCAAATTTTCTTTTTTTAATTAAATTTATTATAATGAATTTTATAATTCACGTCAACTTTATCCGGATTTATTTGTCATATTTTTGATAAATAATTCATATCTCAAAATGTACTTAATCAATTATTAACAACCTGTTATTATTACATCAAAAAGTTAGCAATTTCATCGAACATTGTTTTAGTAATTAATAGACTTCTGTAAAATCGAATAATACTTTCAGATTTTTCTCTTCATTCTAATCGGATCGGAATTTCTTGGACTGAAATATAAATACAGAGCATAGAGAAATGTTCGTGCACTAATTTCCATTCAATTACATTTGGTGTTGAATAATAATTGGGAAAGAATTAATCTCCTTGCTATTTTATATGAAACTTTCGTCGACATTTTCGTTTCTTAATTTAATTTATTTTTTTGCAATAATGATATGGAATAATTTTAAAATTGGAGAAATGTATGTCATGAGAATATTTTTAAAAATGTCAAAATTTTGAATTAATCATACGAATTAAGATGGTTAAGTTCAAATGAGTTCAAATATAAACTAATATTGATGATTAATGTTTGTCAAATTATAAAATTGCTATTTTTCTATCTAAATATATTCGATTTTAAGAAAATTTTTATTTTTATTAATATTTTCAATAGATATAAACACGTTGTCCCATAAAATATACCAATTAATATTTTCTTCAGATTTCACTTTTTATAAATGATATGCACTTTTTATTAATTCTTTTTCTGAATTAAATATCAATGAAATTATAAAATTAATTGAAACTAAATCATACAGGTTATTAATTCATCGAAACCTACCATGTTTAATATTTAATATTTCTATTGACATATCGATATTGTATGATCACCAAAAATATCCCTTTGCATAAATGTAAAATTCCCCAGGCGGAACTAGAATGAAGTCATGCACAGATCGACATAACGGCGTCGTTTCTATGACACCTTGATCTTTTCTGCGCTAGTGCCAAGTGGAGCGTCTATATTTACCGACACACGCGAGCACGCGCGCGCCCTAGCAAGTTTCTGCACGCTACTGGATAATGTTGGTGGATTAAATAAACCGTCGGATTAAATAGCATCGCTGCATTTCGCTCTTTCGTGGCACGAGGACTGTCCGGCAAATAGGTCGACCACGGGCATTCAATCTTGGAAGAACGAACGGATAGAAGTGGTACCGTATCGTCGACCATTTTTCTTTCGGTCAACGGACACCCATTTTATATTTAGAACGAGTATGGTCGCGACGGTAACTTTTCGTTATACCGGTTGTTTTGTCTGAAATTCGCGTGACGCAAGCGCATTATTCGCGCGTGTTTCTACCATTCCTGCATCGACTGAGCGATAACTCGATAATATTTCGTTGCGACTTCGTTGCCACTGGGATATTACTGAAAAATTGATCGATAAAAAGAGAAATTTACGGGTACCATTATTTTTTTTTTTTTCAATTATTGTCTTCGTTATCTTGATACATTACTTTTAATTCGAAAATTGTGTTAATACAGTGCACTTAAATGCACGACATTTCTTTATATTGCGATGAAAAACACTGTTTCCATGTAACGTGTTAAATTAGGTTAAGTATTTTGATCTTCTTGTCCTTTTCTTAAAAAACATAAGATATCTATTTTCTTATTTTTTTCTTTCTTTGTTTCAAACAGACATGTTTTTCTCTTAAACATAATGTTTATCAATATGGAAAATTAATGCCATTACTGATGATTTATTGCCATGTCTGGATCAAAAATATATGATCTGTAATCCATTGGTATGTCATATCGATTATTCTGTTTTAAAACTTAATTGAATAATATTTAGATATTGAATAGTAGATTGAATAATATTTTTATTTATCAATTTAACGAGCAATTGTATTGTATATTATACATTACATTGAAAGTATTATTCAAACACAATACGTCACAGTTTTCATTGCAGAAAAATAAATTTTTTAAAAAATATGTGTTAAATGTTCATATGAATTTAAATTATGCTCGTTGCATTGTAATTCTGTCATATTCACGCATACAAAATTTTACTTTGTTGTATACTGGATTGTATCATTATTATCTGAAACGACAGAATTCTCTTGCAAACATGTTTTACTTTGTCTGTTTCAAAGCAGGCAAATATCTACACAAATAGAATTTCGACCAGCAAAAGGATGTGATGTAGTAAGAGAGGTTATAGCTATGGATTGTTCACCCCATAATTCTGACCGCTATAGAGCTTATGGTGGTTGTTGCGACGTCGGAAATGGCGTCGAGCAGACATCTAAGGGAATCAGAGTTGTTATTGGAAACGTTGTCACGGGGATGCTGTCCCTCGTGTGATCAAAATTCTATTTGAGATGTTTCTGGGGATGTCTCCGAGGTCATCACGAGTCTCGTCAATTTTGCTTTGCCATTACTTTGATGTCACGGTTGTTAGAAATTTGCATTAAACTAGTTAATTATTAAATTAAACTTAGCTAATTAAATTCGCATCATATTTGATGTATACATGATACTAACGAACAAAATAGGTTCTTCTAACATCAAGATATAAGATATCATGTTCTGTTTTAGACATAACTTTATATAATTTCCATTTTTAAATAAGAAATTAATTATCGTGAAAATAACTCTCATATTTGCAACATTTCAATAACTTTATCTAATTTAATTTAATAATAACCCAATAGCCAAATAAATTTTAAATATAACGCATAACTTTTGAACAATAATAATTGGATGAAAACTCGTAATTTCGAGAATCTCTTTCACAAGAAAAATTCGGGAAAGTAAATTAATTGTCGTGGAAGAATACAACGGTTCGATGAAAGGCAGTGAGAAGGTGGGACGAGAGAGTGGAAAAGGAAGAAGGGAAGAATAGAAATTGATCGAGGCAGCTCGAACAGACCTGCAAACAGACTTCCATAGTCATTTGTATCGTTGCTCGACCTGTTGCTGTTCAAACGACCGAACTGTTGATTTTTCTTTTTCTAGGATGCTCCGCACACTTCCATCCTCCGCACTCCTCGCTTGAGGGCTTTTTTATTACAAGCTGGATTGTAAAAAAAACCACGGAGCCACGGTTGCGGCCAATCGTAATAAATATTTTACGTTCTCGCAATCGTTTTACTGCATTGGGATATCCTGAACGCGGTAAACCACCCGCGGGATTTCGGCCTTATTCCTTTTGCCCTGCAATCGGGCATCCCTTTCGAAGAATGAGCGATATCGAGAATCTTTTATGTTATCTCGTACTCTCGCTCAAATAGGTAATAACATAACCGGTCGATATTCGTTTATCATATTCGTTGTAGAAAACCATTTTTTCTTCGTTTCCTAAGAATTTACGATTTACAAAATGTAAATTTAGATGAAGAAAGATTGGATTTTGGATATTGGTGATATCCAAAATAATTGTTTCGTATAAATTATTAAATAGATTTAATTTAATTTTTAGTTCAAATTATTATCGATTTCTTTCTCTTTTTTCCAGATATCTTCGAGGAACTTTCTGATCGTCCAAAAAAAAAAAAAAAAAATTGCAAGACGTCACTCGATTTGCTAACATTTAAATTTAGAATTCAGGTTTTCGTGGCCGTAAATAAATAAAGATTCGGTATTTTTTTATACCGGTCTTCATAAATCTCGTAAATTGTCGAAGCATTTATGTCGCCATTTCTGCGTCATCTTGCAGGTAAAAATAAACCATCGAACGCTAAGATCGTGAAAAATTTAACCTTCCTTTATTCTCGAGACGCCGATCGTTCAAGATAGAATGTTGCAACCGATCTCTGGTATCGTTGCAAATTACGTGATACAAGTTTCAATGGATTTAGGAATTCAATCGTTACACCAGATCGTGAGTAAATTTAAACAAGTCAAGTAAGTAAATCTCCTTGGAAACTTTACAGAAACTTTTTTCCTTTTTCAGAATAAATGTACCTGTATGTGTTAATAACACGAACATTTCATTAAATTGTAACTATACAAAGAATATATTAAAAATGTGTAAAATTTCATGATAGAAAGGACTGATTCAATAATATGATTATTGCTTCATGAATAAAATTGAATAAAAATCAAATACCTTTTTGACTGAAACATAAATACATGGTGTATTTTAATGAAGAAAAGGAAAAGCTATATTATATATACTTAACACATTTTATTATTCTATATTTTCCAGTGTTATATATATATATATTGAAATTATTCTAAGTAAAGAAAAAAAAAAATTTAAAAAATCTGAATTAAATATACATATACAGATAATATCAAATAATATATATTATATACAGATAAAAAATCCTTTGTAAAATAAAATATATATACATTCTATTACTCTATATTTTCTAGTGTTATATATGTATATATATTGAAATTATTCTAAGTAAAGAAAAAAAAAATTTTATAAATCTGAATTAAATATACATATATATACAGATAAAAAATAATCCTTTGTAAAATAAAATATATACATGTAACAGATTCTATTACTCTATATTTTCCAGTGTTATAAATATATTACACTATTATATATAAAAATTTAAAAAATCTGAATTGAATATATATATAATATACAGATAAAAAATCCTTTGTAAAATAAAATATCACGCTACTTCCATAACGTGAAGAATTTCTTCAACTTTTAAAATTTTTTTTTCTTTCTTTACTTAGAATAATTTCAATCGAAATAATACGTTTCCTGAAGTTAATATGTCATAATATATAGCACGAAGGTGGAGTTACTAACAATAGCCGTTATCCTTCGAACGAATCGTCCAATTAAGACGATTCCATTTTCTTTCCTCGGCGCGGACATTTTCTCCGGCGGCTGTTCGCGCCGATCGAGGCGAGAGGTACGCGTGTACGGGTACGGCATGAGTGTCGACTCGATGCCAACTAACGGGATCTGTAGTGATCAAGTGGGTCAGACGAACTCGATCCCGACTGTCCCTTCGTCGATCAGCCATCTCGTCACGCGGATACTTCAAGGTAACAAGAAAATTGTTTTGATCGTCTGTAAACTGTACGTATGAATAAGAATCAAATACCTTTTTGATCGAAACATAAATGGTATATTTTAACGAAGAAAACGAAAAGCTATATTATATTATACACTATATTATACACTTGACATATTTTATTACTCTATATTTACTAGTGTTTTATATATATATATATATACACAGATAGAAAATCCTTTGTAAAATAAAATATCATGCTATTTCCATAGCGTGAAGAATTTTTTCAATTCGGATTTTTAAAATTTTTCTTTCTTTCTTAAATGAAAATATCGTTGTCAACGTTCTTTTTAAAAATGTTAATGTTGTTCTTCGTTATCGATCGTTCCTTACATGCCAATATTATATATATTGTAAATTCAATATTTTAATGGTAAAGTTTAAAATTGATATCAATAATGTTTGAATTTTTTGTTTTAGGTGATAAAGCGTATATTATTATTTTGAACAAACTTGTCGATTTTTGGAAGATTATTATCAAGAGATGTTCAATGTTCTTATATCATGGATATCAAATTGATGGAATTCATATTGACGAGGGTGCAATACTTGGTTAGGTATCGTGGTTAGAAACACGGTAATTAGAAAGAAGAGGGATCAGGAGCTTGTTCCCTCTTTAAGATTTGGCAAGTTTGGATCGGAGGGAAACTTTGGTTCAAGCCCCTCTTGAATTTACTCGCTTGAGAGTAGAGTTCGAGCTCACGATAGCACAGGTGGTACTTGTTGTTGTTGTTGTTTTCCTTAATTCGCGATTAATTCGCAAATAATATTCGAATGGCCGTGTAGAAAATAATATCTCTGATATTAAGAATTTTTTAATATATAAATTAATAATCTTAATATAAATAATTATTATTAATAATATTAATAATAAATATTAATAATAAATTAATAATATTTTTAATATATAAATATTAATATATAAATATTAAGAATATTGAGAATTTTTTAATAATTTTCACGATAAATCGAATCGAATCGAAATCGAGAGTCAATAAAATCTCGTTAATTTTATTTTTTTTATTTGACACTTTATTACATTCTTGCGATTCTCGAGCGATTAAACAACGGATAGAAATTCATTCGATGTAATTCGATGAAATAAACGAAATTTCATTTTTTTTCAAAATTTATCTACTCAATTAATTTTAAGTTTTAAATTTCGTAATTTCAATAAAAATGATTACGAATGTAATTCAATTATTTATTAACAACATAACCCGTTACTTTTTCAGATAATATTAATAGATTCTTCAGTTTTCAATGATTCATTCGACATATAGTTGCATCGAATCTATTCGAAAGAATTGTTCGATTAATTTATTATGTGATTTCGAACAAAAATCGGTTGTAATTTAATCATAGTTCTTGGGTTTACCCTGTTCCAAGATATATTATTCCTCTTCCAAATATCGAAATATCGAGAATTAATTGGATTCTCCGTCAAAGAGAAGCATAATTCGCTCGTCGCGATTTAAATTGATTCAAAATTTCTGACCAATGCTCTTCCTTACCCGCAGTCGGTTTTTACGCTTTTTCGAGAAAAAAATTCGAACTTCATCTTGAAGGCTCGTGGCTTCATAATTGCTCGTATTTCACTCGAATTAATTGAATCACGCGTCGATTTTGCGGCGACACCTCGCAACTATGGAATTCGGGCCAAATTGTGCCCAGCTTTCGTCGATCGAATGATAAAAGTCCATCAAATTCGAGTCTCTCTCTACGCGGTCCGATCGATTCCATCTCGATGGATTCCAGATCGTATTTTAATCTAAGCAAATTCGTGATCCAACAAAATTGCAACACTGAAAGGATCGTATTAATTAATCTCTATTTTTTTTCCTTTTCTTTTTTAAGATTGAAGGCTGATAAGGAAAATTCACGAGTTTCAGTTTTGAATTTTTAACGTCCATCGATTTATAATATAAATTTGATTCGATCGATCGACAATTATCTTCCATTTTTCTTTTCCTTCGATATCAAAGTTCCTTCATTTTTTCCTTGGATTAGACATCTAAGTATTTGAACTTTATTCATCAAACGTGTCCATTTATTCAAGATTAAACTTTGAATATCTTTTTCGAAGAATATATTACTTATATATCTATACATATATTATATTAATCCTCGAGAACAATTTCAGAAAAATAAAATTTCTTTAAAAGAAAAACCTCGACACTTTTCGTATTATTCGTTTCGTGTCACAAATGTGGGAGAAAGAAAAAGAAAAAATCAATGATCCCGCAGCAATAATTAACAACAAATAAAAGTACCGTTAAGAAAATTGTATATATAAATTATATTAGAAAATTATGTATATATAAATACACGATTTATTCAGGCAAGCTTCGTCGTTAGAATCCAGAAACTCGATCCAGAATCCAGGGTACGGTGTCGAAAAATCGGAGACGGCCGGGATTATGTAATATAAATGGTGGGGGAGGGGGGAGGCCGAGGCGAGTACCAACGAGCCGAGTAACGGTATCCACGTGGCAGAATGGTTGTGCATCACGTGGCATGTTAAATCACCATTTCTTAACGGTTCACAAACCGAATTCGAGTTGTTCCATCTTCTGATTCACCACCGTTCCCCTTCTTCCAATTGTATATATATATATATATATATGTATGTATATATATATATGAAAATCGCTCGTCTGTTTTAGATAAATTACATAATTATATCATCGCGAACGGCTGGTTCCTTCGACTTAATTGCAGACGTAGAATCCGTGAATCTTCCCTTTCAAGAAAATTAATCTCAACAAAACTGAATTTGGGAAAACTACCGAATTTTTGTCCGATTTTGATTCGAGGATGATCAAACAACATTTCTCTTCATTTTCATCAGATTCCATTTTGTTCTTCTTTTTTTTCTTCTTCTTCCTTGGAGAAGAATTTATCAAAGGAAACGAATATAATAATATAATTATATGTAATATAATATATAGTAATAGTATAATTATATAATTATATAATATAATTAATTATATAATTAATTAAATATAATTTAATATATAATATAATTATATATTAAATAAATATAATATAATAATAATAAACTTTGGAACAATCTTGATCGATAATTATCTTAATGATCATCTCTTAACGTTCAACCTATTTTTCCTTTTTTTATTTCAATTTCAATCCCTGTTTTATAATCTACCCCATCTCCAACTTCTTTCGAATTTAACAAGTTTAGAGAATTTAAAAATAATCGATTACTTTTTACTCTTACTGAAAAAAATCATAAAAGTAAAACAAGTAATCCAAATAACCTCAAATTTATTTATTATTATTATTATTTAATATAATAATATTATTTATTATTATTATAATTTTTTTTGCGCTCAACTTGAGAATACGTCAGACTTTAACGTTGAACAACTCTTCGCGAAGAGATGCGAGAATCATCGAAAGTGGTGGTGGAGGGGGGTGGAAGGACCTCGAGCGATTTCGAAATCCGACGATTTTGGATCGCGGTTACACTCCTCCTCCCTCAAGGAGGATCGATGATGAGAAGAGATCGTGGCGACAGCGATTTTCGTTGGCCGCGACCCAACGCAACTCGTCCAGTTTATAAGAGACGTTCCGTTTCGTTGCCCATTTCTCAAACTGGCCATCTCTCTCGCGCTTTTTGGGCAATGAGGATGATGCTTCTCGAGGGCGATTTGCTTTCAAGGAGAGGAATTTAAACGGTTTCTTATCTCGCGAAAAAAAGAAAAAAAAAGAAGACGAAGTTCGATGTTGTTTGTTCGAGAGGGACGACGATAGATTTAAAAAGAGATAAAATGTTTTGAAGAAGGGAAAGAAACGTCCTTCCGATTGGATATTTTTTTGTTTTTTTACGATGCATTATAGTTTAACGCGTTTAACATTTATTAAGTAGCTTTTGGATCTTTTGAACGTGTATGACGAAATATATTTCGTTATATAAGAAAAACGATTGTATTGGGTGAAGAGAATTTTAAAATATATGTATATATTGTATTAAAAAGAATACAAGATAATAGAATAGGTTTGTGAAAAATTACGTATATTA